AGGCTCTCGAATCGCCTACAGGCTTTGCCTGGGTTCCCATCCTCAACGAAGATGGCAGGTGAGTTTGAAATTTAACACCTCATTTCTTTTTATTATCGTTAAAAGGGTAACGGGTAATTGAACGTTTTGGCTTTATGCTAATGTTTTAGTACAAATTGGCAATGGATATGAAGTTTTGTTAACTTCTTGAATTTATAAATGGACTTCTACGCTCTCATGTTTATTTTTTACTTTCCTTCGACATGTTAGCCTCGTCTCCGGTACCATCCCTCTCCCTATTTCCCAAGATCTTCCCAAGGGATATCTTGATGCCACAACAAAGTCAGCCGTGAGTCTCTTCAGCTTACGTATATATATATTTTTTCATTCCTCGTCTTTTATTCGGAAAATTGTCGTTACTTTCAGCGTCGCGCGGTGTTCACTCATCAGCCGTTCTCGTCCTCCGTGAGCAATGGCGTTTATCCCATCAATGGGATTGAGCCAGCGTGGTTAGACAATAAGCGATCCCTTTTCACCCTCACCCTCGAGCCCGTCTCCACAATGTACAGCCTGGATGCAAAGTTGGTGTCTTTCTTTGACACGTGTGCGGTCAAACTTGCCATCTACACAGTGCCTATTGCTGCTGATGCCATTGTTCCGAGTGTGGCAAGGGTGGGTGGAGTCTTTGATTGTTTTTTTTTTACGAACAGCTCTACTGACAAAGGTCTGTTTACTATCCTAAGAGGCATTTTCAAATCTTCAACATTTAAAGCCATTAAGGTAATTGTGAAATTTTGGGGTGGTTTCGTTGCTTGTTGAGTCTTTGAATGAAATTTTTTACCATTTTCACTATTTTTACGGAGTTATCGACAAGTTCTTGGGCCTGAAACCTGACTTCCCTTCGAGCTTTGAGTCCACATTTTGAGTGTTTTTTACAAAGCTACGAAACTTGCCAATCATCTGAGTATGTTTTACCTGAAATAGGTGCTGCTTTTTGTCGCCTTTTTGCAGACGAAATGTTGACTTCACGCCTCGTGATCTTCCTTGACGAGCTTAGGGGTCGGAGCTTTCACTATATTTTAAATGCTTTAATCGGTCTGCAGTAATCGCAGTAGCTCAAGTCATATTTTTTTCTGTCAACGTTGGATGTAGCTGTTCGATGAAAGCAAAATATTGGACAACATATTTGTTTATTTCGC